TTTGTTTGTTTGTTATGGATTTCGCGCAAAGCTACACGAGGGCTATCTGCGCTAGCCGTCCCTAATTTAGCAGTGTAAGACTAGAGGGAGGGCAGCTAGTCATTACCACTCACCGCCGACTCTTGGGCTACTCTACCAACGAATAGTGGGATTGACCATCACACCTCCACGGCTGAAAAGGCGAGCATGTTTGGTGTGACGGAGATTCGAACCAGCGACCCGCAGATTGCAAGTCGAGCGCCCTAACCACCTGGCCATGCCGGGCCTGAAATATAGTGAACCAATGTTAGCAGAAGTTTGATTGATCGAACTAAAGCCTAAAGTTCATGCTTTACAAAGACTTATGGAAGATATTAAGAATAAAGATAATTAAATCAGTCCTAAATACTTAGAAACTCAGTACAACTGTTTTGTTTTTCATGAAACAAACTCCTGCGGATTTTTTAAATAAATTTGTTTCGAATATTGTTATTATTTTTTTCGCAAAGTGTGTGTATTTCGGAAAGACCAGAATTTGAATCACATTAAGGGCTTTTAAACTAAGATATCTCCTAAAGTTTAATTACGTTCTCCCTTGTGATACTAAGCCTAAGTTTTAATGAACCTAAAGCGGCATGGGTGGGGTACCTCGTCGATGCAACTGATGAATCATCATCTAGTTTATTTCAAAACTTCAATGTAACGACCCTCATAGTCTGAACACTGTCAGTCGATGAAATATTTTCGATTGAATACCTACTAAATCTGTGGAAGTTTTGATGGGTATAGAATATAGATGAAGTTTCGTAAAACCGACAGGGCAAGGGCAAATCACTCTTGTTTTATTAGTCAGTAGCGTAGGCATTAATTTTATATACCCACGCTATAAAACATATTGGTCCATTAGGTTTAAAATTAATCCAGTAAATCATAATAAGTGATATGGATCACAAAATTCCTACATTCTTTCCTCGTGCATGAATATATTTATATACATAATATAAAACAAATATGCAAAAGCTCAAGGTTAAGTCTTTAAATGAATGTTTGTTTCGCTTTTTTTTTCATCAGTTATTTCTAAAGCGAGAAAACTGACAGTGACCTGTGTTAATACACGAATTTAATTTAAAAAATATTCGATGTTGGCTGAGCAGCAACTCTAATATTGTGAAAGAGCTACCACTATTTAAATTAACAATCATGAGCTCGTGCTTCTTTATTTTATTATCTTACTTGCACGCTTGAATTAATTTTAAACCCATTTTAAATACACATACATTTATATGGAAGCCATATAAACTTTATGGATACAATGACTGCACTTTGACATAATCGTACCGCACATAATATCTTCCTCAGCGATCGTGTTCTAACTGCTTCCCCTGCAATGGTCCTGCAGCGATGATTCCATCAAATCAATATTCTTTATACATCCATATTTCTCTTTTGCAGTTTTTCATAAGCAACCTAATTTCTTAGGTCTATGACTTCCATGGGCATACTTATTTAACTTTATCATCGTTAGAAAATTTACCTTCGAAAAAAAAAAGCCACTTTTTCCTCCAACCAAATCAAGTTTCTACAGTGAAGTAGTTCCAAATCCGAATCTTCGATACCCCTCAAAAATTGGTATTTGAAATGTTTAATATTGTAATTGAAGGGGGGATATTGTGAAACACGGGAAAAGTTTTAATGGGGGCAACCCATTAGTTACGCCTAGAGACCTAGTTACGCCACTAAGTTTTGAAGGTATTTTCAAGTGACCAGACAGCTGAACAGATTACGTGCATTTACAGCCATATAAAGTTGGGGGGGTGGAACGTCTTTTATCAGAACTACATTTTGACATTGTTTAACATTTCGTCGTAAGTTATACCACCGAATATTGATCGCTTTTGGGAAGTATATGTAACACCCCTTTCCGACGCAAAATATTAATACACTCAGATCATAAAAATGTGTTCAGATCGGAGACTTGGAATTTCCGAGACGGAGATATACTTTATGCTTAATAGCATTGGAAAACGAAGAAATGTGGATCAAATTGGCACACCAGTACCATGCAAAAAAGCAAAGATATTCTGTACCAGGAAAATTAAGTTATTTCAAAATGTAATTAAGAACTTTAATACATTTGTTCAATTTAACGAAGTACATTTAACGGAAGAGTAGAGTGTAGGCCAAGAAGAGGAGAGTCAACAGTCTCAGTTCGGTAATTTTTGAATTTGCTATGTAAATGTATTAATTGTGGTCATCACAGAATGGGAGTTTTTTGTGTGTTTTTCCAAATTTGAGGGTGGCTCAGTGGTAAGTCTGAAGGTTTATAACCTTAAAAGCCGGGTTTTGATACCCGTGATGGACAAAGCACAGATGGTCCATTGTGTAGCTTAGTGTCTAATCACTAACAAATCAAATTTGGTTAGGTAAATAGACTGAATATCTTGACCAGTGATATTATTATTCACGATTTTTAGCTCATCTGTATATCTTTTAAAACAGACACCTTGTGGTACAAGATCTTTGAAGCCCCCAGTGGCACAGCGGTATGTCTGCGGACTTACAACGCTAGAAACCGGGTTTCGATACCCGTGGTGGACAGAGCACAGATAGCCCATTGTGTAGCTTTGTGCTTAACTTCAAACAAACAAACAGATCTTTGAATTTATGTACAGAATATGTTTTGTGAAAATGTTGATGGAGATGTCTCAAGTTTGCACAAAAACTGGCACTTATCAGAACGCTCGTTATAGGGTTGAAAAATCTTGACATTCATTTGCGATTCAATATAATCTTCTAAAAGTACTTTAATTAGTTTTGTTAATGAATCTGTTAGATCATCGTGGGATAGAATAGTATATAAAGCTCTATTTCAAGAGTGTAATACTAATGTTATTGACAAAAATACATTATTATTTTAATGAATATTTTCTTGACATTTTAATGCTTTATCTTTGATTTTGTTGGATAGTGTACGTTTCTGTGGTAATACAATTATATATAATTCTGATACAGAACGCAAATGAAGACAATCGTAAATTAATCATACGCTCATCTTGTTATTATTCCATAGAATGCTACTTTCCTCTAGCCCCCCCCCCCC